ATCCACTCTCTCCATACCTCTTTAATATTGTCCTTGAAGTCCTAGCCAGAGCAATAAGACAACAAAAGGAGATCAAGGGAATACAAATCGAAAAGGAAAAAGTCAAACTCTCACTGTTTGCAGAAATTATGATAGTCTACATTAGTGACCCGAAAAACTCAACCAGGGAACTTCCACAGCTGATAAACACCTTCAACAAAGTGGCAGGATACAAGAATGACTCAAAAAAATCCGTAGCCCTACTATATATCAATGACACATTGGTGGAGAAAGAAATCAGAGAAACATCACACTTTACAATTGCCACAAACAACATAAAATACCTTGGGGTAACACTAACCAAAAATGTGAAAGACCTGTACCATAAGAATTTTGAGTCTCTAAAGAAAGAAATTAAAGAAGATACCAGAAAATGGAAAGATCTCCCATGCTCTTGGATAGGTAGGATCAACATAGTAAAAATGGCAATCTTGCCAAAAGCAATCTACAGATTCAATGCAATCCCCATCAAAATCCCAACACAATTTTTCACAGACCTTGAAAGAACAATTCTCAACTTTATAGGGAGAAACAAAAGACCCGGGATAGCCAAAACATCCCTGTACAATAATGGAACTTCTGGAGGCATCACCATCCCTGACTTCAAACTCTATTACAGAGCAATAGTCCTGAAAACAGCTTGGTATTGGCACAAAAATAGACTGGTAGACCAATAGAATAGAATTGAAAACCCTGATATTAACCCACACACCTACGAACACCTGATTTTTGACAAACAATCCAAATTTACATGATGGAACAAAGAGAATATCTTTTGTAGAAGACTGCAGTTAGACCCAAGCCTGTTGCCTTGCATAAAACTTAAGTCAAAATGGATCAAAGATCTCAAACATAAATCCAGCTACATGGAACCTATTAGAAGACAAAGTGGGAAATACCCTTGAATTAATTGCTACAGGAGACTGCTTCCTGAACATTACACCAGTAGTACAGACACTGAGACCAACAATTGATAAATGGGACCTCCTGAAACTGAGAAGCTTCT